CAGGATAGAAATAACCTACACAGATGAGGTAAAGTCCCATTGGCCAGAACACAGCCTCAGTTTTTTGTTTAGTTTTTTTTACCATTGACTATTTGAAGATTTGCTTTGATAAAACACAACTGGACTTTATTTTTGGTTCTTGAAGACAAGAGACATTCTGGGTTGCAATCGCCTAGTGGGGATTCCCACATATTTATTTTCAGCCCCAGCTCAACTGGCTCAAGCCTCATTAATGGCCTGAGAGTTGAAACTGTCTTCCTGCTTCCCTTCGCTTACTCCTTTACTCGCCTTTTAGTCACTCTACTTTTGTCCTCAAGTCTTGGATATGATTTTATTCTTTGCTGTTAAGTGAACCAAGACTTTTTGAGTCATTTTTATGCTTTTTATAACTTATCTGACGAGCCAGCGCCTACAATCTTCTCCTGTCCAAGGAAGTAATCCAAACAACACTCCCTGTGAATGCTGTCGGATATATGAACAAAAAATTTGTTCTAGAAACTGAATTCAACTGAGTTCAGGAAGCACTCCCAGTGGAATCCAGTGGTAAGAAGTCCACATTTACCTGCAAAGAAAAGAGGGGGGAAAAGTACTACTTTCAACTTTAACCGAAAGTTAATCGATACAGAGTCTTTTTCAAGACTCTGTAAAGACACTTATACTCGACTTGATGCTGAGCCAAAGCGACGTCAGAATGCTGGTATCAGTGGAGGATGTGTAGCACCAAGTGGTGGAACAGCTGATTGTGCACGTGGGTGCAGTGGACATCAGAAAGGAACAGTATGAAACCTTAAATAGTTCCCCTCACTCCAGACATGGCAAGATCAAGGTTTCTATCCCAAAAAAGAAAAGAGCCCCTCTCCCTTCTCAGCCTACCCCCCTAGCTCGGCCCCATTACCACTGGCCGTGGCTGACATCTCCAACAGCATCACTGCTGCTAGGATGCTAAGGGCCTCTGCTTTGCTACCATTCATAGTAAACCCCATTTCAACTGGAGGTCCAGAGAGGGAGTGTTCTCTTCTAAAACAATGACTCCACATAGATTAGATAAGAGAGGGACAGTCAGACTGTCTGATCAGAGAAATCTAATCCATATCTCTTGCAGGAAGATTGTGTCCACTCAAACTCAAGTAAATCTTAAACACGTTGCACTCAATGTCAGATCTTTAAGTAAAAAATTATTTTTATAGTTTTATCTCCTCTTATAATCTTGATTTTATGTTTTTAACTGAGACGTGGCCAGAGGGACGTTTGTCTCAGACTGAATGGCCGTGACCTCTGGGGTTCCTCAGGGGTCGATCCTGGGACCCATCTTGTTCAATCTCTACATGCTTCCATTCAATTCAATTCAATTCAATTTTATTTGTATAGCGCATATTTACAACAACAGTCATCTCATAGCACTTCACAAAGGCAGTGACAGAAACACCCAACAATCCAAAACATTTGGATTCCCTATAAGCTTCAGCAGTCCGCAAGCAGTCCGCAACAGTGGGAAGGAACCGGAAACCCCCACAGGGGAAAAAAAACCTCAGACAGAACCAGACTCAGGGAGGGACGGCCATCTGCCTCGACCGGTTGGGTGAGAGTGGGATGAATTATACAATTTAGTTTACAGTTAAACAAGTTATTCGAATTTATTGTCTTTTTGTAACAGGAGGCATCATGGTAGGGGCAGCAGGATACAGAAGGTGAGGTCAGCGGCTGTAATTCAGGAGCTCCAGATCCAGAGACATCCACAGAGAGAGCAGGCGCAGGAGAACCTCAGGGGAGTCACAGAGTTAGTCATATGTAATGGTGATAGGCAACTATAGAAACATATACATACATACACACACATATGTATGTATATATAAAGAGGAGAGGAGATCCATAAGGTCAGCTGATACGTAGCAATAATGTGTCCTACCACAGTTATGCAGATGACACTCAGATCTATGCGTCAGTGACGGCAGGTGAACATGGGCCTGTAGATTCACTGTGTGGCTGCATTGAATGGATCAGTGTGTGGATGCAAAACAACTTTCTCCAGCTAACTCAGACACTGACTGAAATCATTGTCTTTGGCCCACAGAAACAAAGAGAAAGTGTCATCAGTCACCTTGAGACTCTCGCTCTGAAACCTAAAAGTCAGGTTAGAAATCTGGGGGTAACAACGGCCTCAGACCTGAACTTTAACAGCCTCATGAAGTCAATAACGTCAGCCGCTTTTATCATCTAAAAAACAACATCAAAGGTACAGAGTCTAAGCCAGACTTTGAGAGACTAATCCATGCAGGTCAGACTGCTGTAACGGCTGCTCACTGGCCTCTCTAAACCAGCTGGAAGACGGCTGCAGTTGATCCAGAATGCTGCTGCTCCAGTCCTGACTAGAACCAGGAAGTACCACCATATTAGTCCAGTGCTCAAGTCTCTGCACCGGCTTCCTGTCGCTCAGAGAACTGACTTTAAAACAGCTTTGCTTGTGTCCAGGTCTCTTCATGGTCCAGCACCAAAGTACATTTCTGACATGTTGGTGCCATCTGGACCATGTTGGGCTATGAGAGCCCCAGGGAGGGTCTGCTGCTGGTGCCCATAGTCAGAACCAGACACAGTGAGGCTAGAACTACTACTAATACTACTACTACTAGAACTACTACTACTACTACTACTACTACTACCACCACCACCACTACTACTACTACTACTAGAACTACTACTACTACTACTACTACTACTACTAGAACTACTACTACTACTACTACTACTACTACTAGAACTACTACTACTACTACTACTACTACTATTACTACGGTTCGTGCTCAGTGACTGTGCGGGTGGACCCAAACGAAAAGGGAGACGGGGAGAAGGGTTAAAGGAAACAGGGTTTATTAGGGAAGGTGGGGAGTGATGGGCACCAGGAGGCAGAAACAAAGTCCAGTGAAGGGGTGCCAGTCGTGGGGAATAATCCGGTGATGGGATCTGGTGCAGGGATGTCGGTCGTGGAGAGGGAGGAGTGGAGTCTTTGGTGTCGTGATCCGAGGAAGGGGGGTCCCGAGGGTGGTGCACGAAGAGCCGGTGCCTGAGAGTGCCTTGGTCCGTGGGGTTTTTCCCGGTGCAGAGAGGGAGCCGTGACGAGGGAAACCGGGGTGGTGCGCAGGGGTCCGGTGCTCAGGGTTCGGTGCTCGTGGGGGGGTGCTCTCGTGAAGGATCTCCCGGTGAAGGTGTCCGTGGTCGTGAATTCCCGTGGGTATCAAACGCTGGAGTGCTTGGAGGTGTGCCGAGTGCTGGAGCCAAGGAGCAGAACTGGAAACAGGCAGAGAAACACATACCATAAACTCGAAGCAAGAGAACATCAAGAATGTTAGGAATGCTCAGCGCGGTGTAGCAGCTCATGGCCTGACTGCACCCCGAGGTAGGTATCACAATCCTCTGGCGTCGGCCTTCTGTGAGACGCCAGTATTTAAGCAGGGCACGGCTGATGAGCCGATGAGCCACAGTTGCCAGTGTGCGCGTGTCTCTCCTGATCAGCTCCACCGAGCCTGCAGTGAACAGAGGCACACCCACCAAAACACAAAGACAGACAAAATCCCAAAAACACAGTGAACCCAGTCTATGACCCTCACAACTACTACTACTACTACTACTACTACTACTAGTACTACCACTACTCCTACTACTACTACTACTACTACTAACTACTACTACTGGTCTCCTGCTGGTGCCCAGACTCAGGACCAGACACAGTGAAGCTGTGTTCCAGTGTCATGCAGCTAAACCTGGACCTGGACTGCAGAAGATGTGAGACAGGCCTCAACTCAGACAATGTTCACATCCAGGCTGGAAACAGTTCTGTTTAGTTGTGCACATGACAGCTGGCAGTATTTAGTCTGTACTCTTTGCTTTGAATGTAATTAATGAATGATTGTGTTCATTTTCTGTGGACTGACGTTATCGGTCTTCTTATAGTTTTGTGTGAAGCACTTTGAATTGCCTCAGGTAAGACTGGTGCTGGACAGATAAGCCTGTCTTGGCTGATTACAGGGTTCGAAGCAGCTGCTGGCCGCCTCCCCGTCACGGCCATTCTACTGAACCGAGACGCAGACAACGATGAGGACAAGGACAGCTAAGGATGAATAAAAGAAGAATTTAGTTCACAGCAACTAAGAGCAGGGTGGATGTGCAAGGGGTGCAGGACAGAACTAAGAGGGAGAACTACGAAGGGGAGATTAACGGGAAATAAGGCTGACGATAAGAAGTACACAACAGATAATTGGGTGCTACTGCGACGTCTAGGGGAGACCAGGGAAATAACCAAACATTGAGCCAAGGCATATGAGTAACCCAGAAATACCAAAGACAAACTGATTAAGAACTAATACAGAGTAATAGAAGTAAGGTAACAAGCACTGAGCAGAACCCAGTAATACAGGGTTAGGAACAACTACAGACATATAGTCGTTATATAATGTGCTTCAACAAGGCATCAGGACACATTACGAAGCTAGCCATAATAAAAACAAATCTACCTTATCAACAAAATAACTAAAAAGAGAAACTAGAGAGCCACACACCAGACTTCTCTTCCTCCGTTTGAGATGCTTGGTTCTAGCACGAGTCTTTCTGAGTGCGTCTCTCCATGAAACCCGTCGGTTCTGAACGTGAAGCTGACCTGAATCAAGCAGCACTGGTGGTGTAGCCAAATCTATGAGTACAGGCAGAGAGCTGCAGCACGAGCAGAAGCAGCTCTATTGAGGAAATGTCATTAACGTATTCTGTGTACAGAACTGGCCAAACTAGTCCCTAGGCGGGCATTATGCAAATGTTTTGCAAGGTGAAGGCTTTTCTGGCAGCTGAAGACGAGTGTCTAACACAACAACAGCTCTTGATTACAGTTCCTGTCACTGGAATAGATATGATGATTTAATACCTGAAGAGGGTTGCGTACAGCACACGCCCAAGAATCTGGCTTGGGCTACTCCCTCTTTGCCCACGACTGCACCCCCATTCACACCACCAGCACCATGGTCCAGTTTGCTGATGACACCACCACCGTAGGACTGATAACAAACGAGTCAGCCTACAGGGAGGAGGTCCAGCACTTGGCAGAATGGTGTCTCAGCAACAACCTGGAACTGAACACCAGCAAGACCAAGGAACTGGTTGTGGATTCAGATGATCCACACACACGGAGCACTCTGCCCTCTGCATCAACAGAGGAGGTAGAGAGGGTGGAGAGCTTCAGGTTCCTTGAAGTGAACATCTCAGCCGACCTCACCTGGGCCAACAACATCTCCTACCAGGTGGGGAAGGCACAACAGAGACTTTACTTCCTCAGAATGTTAAAGCAGGCTCACCTCCCTTGACCCCTGTTGGAGAACATTTACAAAAGCACCACTGAGAGTCTCCTGACTTACTGCTGCATGGCGTGGTTCACCAGCTGCACTGCAGAGGACAGGAGGAACCTGCAGCTGCAGAGAGTTATCAGGACCACACTACTTCTCCTGGAAGACATTTACACCAGTCGACTTCAGAAGAAGGTCACATTCATCGCAAAGGACCCCACTCACCCCGGACACCCCCTGGTCTAAAAGATATCGGACAATAAAGACCAAAACAAGCCGTCTCAAGCACAGCTTCTACCCGCAGGCTGTGTGTGAGAGCTATCGTCCCACCCCCACCTTCACCCCCACCCAACCCCTCACTGCACCCAACTCCTCAACCAACCAGTACTGGTCGGTTCCTCGCACATACCTCAGGACAATAATGTGCACTGGACCAGAATGTGCACATGCACATGCCACGTATACTGTTGCTTTAAACACTGTCTGCTTTAAACACTGTAGCTGTACTGTAAATACCTCCTTTGCTTTAATATTTTACATTTTATACTTTACATTTCTATAGATATTTATCTTTCCCTTCACATTACTTTATCTTATTTGATCTTATTTTATTTTTTTACTTGTGTATTTGTGGTGATTGTGTGGTTTTATATTTCATTGTTGTGTTGCTGACATTCTCCGGTGGTTGCTGTGTTTCCTCATGTTTCTCAGGCTGGGCGGGGCTGATTGGAGGGGAACGCGTCGGCACCTTCGCAGCTGCAGCTCATCACCCTCGTTAAGCGCTGGTTAAAGCCACCGATCCTTCTGTGCTCCAGTGCGAGACGACTGCCTTCTCTGCAGCGGTATTGTTGGTCGCCAGCTTAGCCCTTGTACTACATGCTAACCCCTTTCGAGCTCTCGAGTAATTGTTTGTATTTTCCTGCTCTTCAGCTCTCAGCGTCTCCTCCATTTGTTAATTCTAACCCTGTCCCTTTTTCGTTCTGGGTCCAGCACTTCGTCACTCACCGAGTGGCCACCGGCCATAACAGTACAAAGGGATGCTAGGACATGTCACTGCTGCAACACTGTCTTTTTAGCAGTGCTGCCACAGTGACAATAAAGAACTATTCTATTCTTCTATTCTGGCTGAGCTGAGCAATGCTGTAAAGAAGAATGTTTCAGAATTCCTCCAGAAGGTTGTTTGAAGTTATTGTTGTCCAATGAGGTTCCACCAGTTCACCTACTTACTGTCTTTAATGCATGTGGTACATGGAGACACACACAGAATATAACGGTGTGTTGTTGCGTAAGCACATTGTGATTCTCTGTATTTAGGACTAATGTGAGGAACAAGTCTTTTTATAACCAGCTAATACAGAAGACGGTGAAAGGTACTCCTTTGTTTTAATTAGACCTTATTCAGATGCTCAGGGTAGTTAGATGGCTAGGCTGAGTTAAACATCCAGCATAAAGGGAATATTTCCATGAAAACATGCCACAGTGCAGCAGCAGGGAACACGGACTGTTATTGCTGCTGTTTTGAATAAAGCTGCATCAAGCAGCTCTTGGCATCATAAACTGTCTAAGTGATGCATTTGTGGTTCTCTCACATTTCAAAGCCAAACATACAACATGTAGATCATGTCGTAGGACTCGTATTGCTGCTGGCTGTTGGCTTTCAGTGTCTGATCAATACGTCCTCCGAACAACAGCAAGACTTTCAGATGACATTTTCTGTAAAAGGAGACGAGGTGTTCATGAGCCACAGCGAGTACAAGGGCAGACTGGTTTTTGGCAGGATCTGCTTGTCTTGATCAGTTTAATACCTCGGTTATAATATTTTAAAATTACAGTCAGTTTTCAAATATCCTGAGCATGAAAGCAGAAGTTAATTAAAACCTACCTGCTTGCTTGCCCAGACACACAGAGAAAGAAAGAGAGATTGTCATTAAGGTAATGCACAAATGGACATGGTTCGTTTAGGTGAAAGACACTAATAATAGGTCAGTGCCACGTGACCTCAGTAAAACCTGTAATCTGCTTCTTGCACATGCACATGGACTGGTGAGGGGCCACGGGGGGGAGAAACATGCTAGCGGGCTTTTGATATCACATCTGTGTGTCTGTGTGATGCATGTGCACACTTTCATTAGCCTCATTTCAACGAGGAGATGGTAGCATTTGAGCTGTGTCCATTCATGCTGCTGTAATCAGCATGAAACCACTTTCTTCTCACAAATATGCTGACACACTGCGAGTATAGCGAGGCCCATTTCTGTTCTCGATAGGGGTGGATTTCACATGAAGAAAATGGAAAACACTGTA